CTATTATAGTATATTGGGGTTGTATAGGGATAGTGGAAAAGATAATGGAAACTACTATAGTACATTTATATAGGGAAAGTGGAAATGAACTGCTGCAAACATCTGCAGAAGCACACTGAGGTGGTGTGAAATCACCCTGGCGCACGTGCTCCTCGTCCCAGAAGAATGAATTTCGGTATTGGCAACAATACCCATGCAAATACAAATTGGATACCCTGCACCGAGCCAACGCCTTTGAGCATGAAGTTCATGCGATAGTTTCCCTAAATAGGGACCCCAATATAGACCCCCAAATGCTATAATCATTAATATTATGGGGTTCCCCGAAGAGGTACCCCGAATTTTGGGAAACCTCCAGGTATGGTTCCAAATGGATCCTCTTGAGGCCGCAGCATATCACCTCTCGTCCGTGCCTTGAGACATGTCACATGAACAACTTAAGGTTCAGGCTGGGTTGCTGTTAAGGAATTTGAATTAAGTCAACATAATATGGGTATCTGGTACATAGTAGGGTTTCCTTATCATAGTAATTCAGCTTAAATTCCTGAACAGCAACCCAGTAGGGAGTAGGGGTCCGCAAGCTGAACTCGAACAAGACCGCAATGGACAGGCAGAGTCAGCATATTGAGTGCTCAGCTCGAATCTCACTCTGCGATCGTAGCTGCGCGTCATCTTCTGTTCCTGTCTCTGAGCTGCGCGACCTCTCCTGTATTACTACTATTGTTCTTCCTACCATTATTGCTAGTATGTTTGTTACTACTATTACTATTACTACTAATTACTCTCAATCCTGTTGCTATTACTATAGCCTAGCTGTAACAATTATTGCTAGTACTATGATTACTATTTTCTTACTCCTACTATCATTGTTACGTCTTGCTTATGTACACCAAGTGCCGGGCCCTCGGTACCGCAGCTGGAGACGTCCGTGCAAGTGCCCATGGTGGTGGCAGCATTCTCTGTCTCAGTGTATAGTCCCCCTTCAGTAGATAGGATATGGGGTATATGAGGATCTTGTTATGGTTTTGGGGAACTCCATATTCTATCTACTGAAGGGAGACTATAGGCTGAATGGGGATGGCAAAGGCACAAGCATCTTGCATGTCCTGCATAATGTGCTTGCTAGGCACGTCTCCAAAGCTGCGTGCTGAATTTGTTCTTGCAATGCGGCACCGTGTGAGGGCCACACATCGCTGCCCACGGGAGCACCGCCCATCTGCCTTGTAGGGCGGGTGTCTGGAGTGTCGAGGAACGAAAACAAGCAACGCGCAGATAAGAACTACATGGATTTCGCGCCATCCATGAACAAAGGCTGCTGCGTGGGCTCTACTTGAGATAATAACTCACATGCCGCAACCCATGCCGGCTTTGCCCACTGCCCATGTCAGAAAAGCCTTCGGTCGAGTCAGCAACTGCTTGCTTGGAATCGTCTTGCATCTTTAACAGGATTCTGGAGGCCTTGCAGGCTCGCATCCAAGCTTAGATCATCGTAACAATCTCTATGGAGCTGGCATTCTTAACTAGCTTTATGACCTGTCTAGGGCATCCGATTATTTTGGACCCCACATTGGCTCCATGGCAGAACATAACGACATGCGATGCATGCAGACACACACTGGTGCCCTTCTTGGCAGTAAGCAAGCGGCCATCATGCCCTTCGTTGTCCTCCGGACAATCATGTCCGTCATGGCCATCCTGAACAGTACTGCTATGGTCTAAACTCCTTAAAGGGTGCTATATAAAGGATTAAACAGGGAACTATTATAGGGGTTATTACATGGGATGCTAGGAGTTCAGACTACAGTTCACTTAGGGTGCCCCTACTCCTTGACAGTGCAGTCACGGATATTCCACGGAAATTTTGGGATCAAGGATCCAGGAAAAGATCATGTACATGGTTCTTCTGAGAGCCACCCCATAACACTCTTATACCTACAGATCCCGCGTTTGCTATGCAGGCCCTAAAACGCAAGCAGTGAACTCCCAACCCTAGACCAAAAAATGATAGTCTCCAATACGGAGTTGTACCTAAGATCCCAGTCCCCTTTGAAGGTTCGTAAGATTTGCAGCAGACGTAGGATGTAGGGTTTAAGGCTTAAGCGTGGGTAATCAGGCAAATGGCCTAGAAAACTCCCCCAATGTGGCTTCACATAAGCTGGCTGAGTTATGAGTAGATTTACTGGGTTGCTGTTAAGGATCTTTATTAAAGGTAACGTATAGGTGATTTAAGTTACTATATATACCCATTATGGCAACTAAATTTAAGTTCCTAAGCAGCAACCCAATTTATCACACAAGTTAATCACATGCAGTAGCAGCGGGGACTAATGACGGCTTTTGGATTTGTGTACGGCATGTAGCTACACACCCAGCGTCCAAAGACCGCAAGATTGTCGTGTTCATTACCAAATACATGTGTTTCAATGGTGTTTGGTACCTGGAACCATGAAATGTGGGTTCATGGAAAAACTCTTTTCTCGTCGCTGGCAGCGTCACTGCAAGTTGTGCAAGAGTCGCATCTTGGCACAAGGCTCAAAATCCAATCCAAGCTAATTTCAGGAGTTCCTGTAAGCTTTCCGGATAATTCTGAGATGTCGAGACTGATGTATTTGCCAGCAAGGGGTATTGGCTGTTGCAACTGGCCGTGATGCAGTTTGTTGATGTCTTTTGCCGCCATGTCCGCACGATGAAACCCCTTGCTCACAGCGCAGGACGCGCAGGCTACTGCTAGTTAGAAATTGGTGGTCTCTAAGGGGATGAAGGGGTTGGTGATTGAGCCTGCATTTTTTTAGAAGCAGCCAGCGGGCGCTACCCGATGATGGCTACGTTTGGATAGTGGATCGTTACGATCTCCAGTGCAGCTGCTGGCCCTCATTTATGGGCAGGAGTGAGGAGTGAAGCGCGAAGGCTCTAAGCCGTCCCTGCTGTTGACCATGGGTAAAAGGCTTGTCTACTTTGGTGGCAAAGTTCAAATTTCCCTCCAAACCACCAAACTTGTCCATGCTCGTATTTGTTTATGGCGAAGGTTGTTCTTGATGGCAGTTTTGAAGCCGCAGGGTCGTTAGGGTTTGCATTGCATGTTGAAGCAGGAAATATACAAGGACTTCGGCAAGGAAAGTGACCACAGTCACCATCGTCTTCATAAAGCGATCCTTGCGGGAACAAGCCTGGTTCGTTGCCGCGTCGTTGCGTTGTCGTGGTCGTCCTCCGTCGTCGACTTCCATCGTTGTCCTTTGTCGTCATCTTCCGTCAACGTCCTCCCTCGTTGCCCTCAGTATTGTAGTGGTGGGCGCCCTGGTCGGATGTGGTGAGCACAGTGCGCCTGGTGGTCATGGTGATCGTGGTGGTGTGGTTGCGGTGATGCTCGTGGTTGTGTCGGTTGTTGTCGTCATCGCGGTCTTGGCTGCATGGGGCAAAGGCTGTAAGGGGCTTGGGGGTTTAGGGTTCAAGGTTTAGGAACGGCAGCCGTAAAGAATCCTCACCAATGGCAGCAGAAGATGAGGATATAGTTTAGTGTTGAGCGTATTACTGATATTGTGTACAGGTCATACAAACCTCTCTGATTGAGGTACGCGGTACGGAATGGGCGAAGCTGCACAGCCATGTTGGCATACCATGGAGTACTTCACAATTGCAACGCGGCATATGGCTGATGTACTTATTGAGGGAGAGGCTAACCGCCAGCAAATTCACCACGCAACACCTCATGACGCAGCCTTCGCTAGCCTACATCTATGCCTGCTTTTACAACAACTCTCTGATGCCAAACTTAGCTCACTGTACCAGATTACACTTTATCACATGTTAGCTTTCACGTTTGCTTTCCACTCATTTCGCTTGTGGCAGGTCCGGTGGGTTAAACTGCCGAGTGCCACTGAAGGCGGCAAAACCTCGCTCAGGTGACTCTGCGGCGCCGTCGCGTCTGCAACCATGGAGGCACCAATGCCTTACTTGCTGTAGCATGCCTTCAGAACCTACTCTGTTCGAAATTTCAATTCTGAAATGCGATTACGACATACCCTAAAGTGTAAATTCAGGTTCCGGTCCAGATTGACTGTGGCCATGACATCAGGCACAAGCAGAACGAATTCCAGCGCAGGACGTTGGGCTTTGGGGCTGAGGCTCAATTTCTTGCGTCAGAGGATGTGGAAATTTGGTGCAAGGCAACAGGTGGGATATAAACGTCGAGTTCATGCCATTCCTGTCTGATGCCGTAGTATGGAAACAACATCTGGGACATGTTCGTGCACTCTCAATATAGCAGCAGGCATCATTCATGTTGACTGTGCGTCCCCATGAGTACCGTCTGCTAGGGGCATCATTAAGGTCAAGAGGAGTTTAGCATCAACATTATCATTCGTGGGCCAAACTGTGTTTGTACGAGGAATCAAACCCCGACTGTCAGGGTGGCAAGTGGAAGTTTCCCAGAAGTGGGGTCCCTCCTAGAACCCTGAGCACCGGCCGGACCTTGCTAAATGGATACCCCCGAAAGAACCCCCTAGCCTGTCAAAACTGCTAAACCCCACATTTCCATGTGTAATGTCATAAGCCGACCTGTCACAGTTGAAGGGTGCACGGTTGGTGCAGGGCACACCAAACTTTCTCAAATCCCCAATTGAAATTCAGGGCTTGCAATTGGAACATTAACTCCCTTCGATCCTACCGCCTTGTTCGCCTTGAATACAAGCAAAATTTTTCCCCAAGACTACAGCCAGCCAAAAACAAGCTCGACTTGCAGATTTTACCCGCCCCGAATATTCAAAGATATCCATGCGCCTGGGTGTTCTGGCGCATGCTGGACCTTAAAGCTATACATCCCCAAAGCTGCCAGCTTGCG